GGGTAAGGAGTCGCCTCCCGATCCTTTACAGGCTTCTTCCTCCCAGACTGGGAGGGTCTTCTGGCCGACTGTTCCTTTGGTGGAACAGGCGTCCTCTTGTTGATAAGCTCCTGGATCTCCCCCTTGAAACTATTCATGTAGGTCATGAGTTTGTTTCTGGTGATGGGGGCAGATCCCTCGGCCGCCTGTTGATGATCAAGCGGCTGGCCGGCTGGTTTACCAAATCCAGCCAGGCAGTCCTCCCGTTCCCTCCTTTCAATGGAACGAGTGCGTCGAGCTCTTAAGGTCCCGTTAGAGGTCGTGTGAGTCTCGACTTCGACTTCCTCGTCAGTGTCCTGGTCCGACTGTACCAAGACGTCGTCCATGGGACACTTCTCACTTAGGACTGGTACATACTGTGATTCCATCTCGAAAGTACTCTCCCCACAGACGGCGCCAAATGTTCGGGGTTTTTTGATGTCCTGCGGGAGAGTTACAATTACGGGACTAGATCCTTGCACCTGTACCTGCAAAACAACGGAGACTCCAGGTGGTGGGAGAACCGCCTCCGACGATCAAGTTAGTACTTGTTTGAGGAGTAAAAGGTGCGGAAAGTAAAGAGGGTGATCTGGTTCCTCGGAAGGGAGGAGTGATCGGGGAGTGCAAATAATGCTAAGTATGGTCTAGCGATTATTATGCACGTGTGGGCTTCTCTAGGCGAGATGATTAATTAATTCTGTCCCCTTTACTGAAGACTAAATACAGTATTTATAGCCTTGGGACGCGTGCCTAATACTAGGTCAATTGGTAAACCTAGGACTGATTGAGATTGCCTCGGAAATCGGGCATGTGACGACCGTTTTCCAGGTAGACAGATTATGGGCCACATGGCGTAGCCTGATTAGTCCACGTTGGACCTCTCAGGGTGACAAGTGGCGGATGCTGATTGGCCCATGTGGTGGACACGTGGTAGGTCCGGATTGGTCCATTTGTCATGGGTAATTTTACCCTAATCATAAAGCATTCATGAAAACAAGAAGCAAGCTACATACACTTAGTAAAATTCATAAAAAGCAAAAATTCAAAAACTTTAAAATTTGAAGAAACCGGCACAAATAGCCGAATGATTAATATTAACAGTTGGCTAGAAGACCGACAGGAAATGTTAAAATTTAAAATTGTCAATAAACCCCAACCCCTTGGTCGGGTAATGATACAAAGTAAGTGGCACGCAACCCCAGTCGACTCCTCCTCCTTGTTCTCGCCATCCACCTCCTCCTCCTGGTCCGACTCCCCAGAAGTGGAATCAGACGACTCGCCACCCTCCTTTTCTTCATCATGGTCTTGCCCCATGATGTTTTCATTGTACTCTCGGGTACAAGTGGCAAACTGATTCCTCTAGTTGTCATAACTGGTCTCTGGGAAGAGAGCCGCCAAGGTCATCTCCATGATGAGGTTATTGTCCTCCATCATGTCCTTGACCAGCGCCTGTTTCTCCTCGTGGGCCCTAGAGGTGTATTTTATTGGTAAGCTAGGTCTCTTGGTTGGCCAGCCGCTGCTTCAACTTGTCTACCCGACTGCGGAGGCCAGCTGCTTCATTTTCCGCCTCCCTTAGAGGTCCGAGCTCAGCCTTGAGGTCTGATACGGACTTCTCCAGTTCATAGATCCTCTTCTAGGCCGCCTCCAAGTCCTTCTTGACTTGCAAATTGGCAGACGCCTGATAATATAGTATGTCAGTGGTCAGAATTTCGCTTTGAGCAATCTAGAAGATAGCTTTGTCATAATCAGAGGCGGCCCGGGCCTTTGCAGCCTTTACCTCTTTGGCCTTTTTGCTCAGGGGCTTGCAGAGACCATACACTCGCAACATAGACTACACTCGGCCAAAACACAGTCGTCAGTAACAGGCGCTAGGTAATTATTTAAGCAAAAGAAAAAATTACTAAGTATACCTCGGCCAGGAGAGCCAGGATGGCTTCAAGGTTAAGGGTGCCGACTCCCTTAACAGACTCCCTGTCCTCAACAGGGATGGCCTTCAGCATTGATCTAGCTATCTGAACCAAATCCGGCCTTTGAGGGACATCTGCACAATCAATACCCTGTAAGTACCTTGTGTAAATTCGGCCAATAGACCGACTGCTCTCAAAGGTGCTAGGCGACTGCCGATTGAATTTGACCCTCAAAGGGTAAGGGAAAGGACACAAGTCCTTGATACCTTCAGTAGCCGCCTCCTTCTCCTTCTCCTTCTCCTTCCCCTACCGACTGCCAGCAGGGACGGCTGGAGATTTTGGGGGAGCATTTCCCCCTAGCCTTGAGGCCATGTGCTTCCTAGCTCTCCCAAGAGTCGTCACGTCACCAGCCGTCTGTTTCCTAACCTTAGGATCCGACTGGGAGGAGGAGGAAGGCTTTGCTGGAGTGCCCTGCAAAATAATCACAATAAGTAAAAAACAGGCGGCATAAAAGCTAAATGAAGTTCAATTGAAAGTTCACCTTGGATGCCTGCACAACAGGCGATTCTTCAGCAGGCCGCTTGCCAAGGATGGCCGAGCGGTACTAAGCAGCAGCTTTTTTAAAGGCCGAGAGATTCTCCATGGCTTTGTCTGCAAAAGATGAATCAAGGAGTTAGTTTGACACAAAATAAAACAAGTTTCACAAGACATTTAAACCGGCGGTCAGCTACCTCTCGGCATCTCTTCACTTAGGCCACAGGCGGCCAGATATGTCCCATCGTATAACCACTTATACTTGGGAACATAGTTTTGAGGAATGAACTCCCTCACCCCAGTCTCGGGGTTCGCTTGTATGTCTACTTTGAAGAGCCCTCTGTCAAGGATCTCTTCTTTGGCTTTACGGGGAACAGGCGGCAGCTCAGAGCCGCCTGTTAGGAAAGGTGGGTTTATGTTCCACCTATTAAAATTTTTTGTTTCTAACTGTGTCAGGGCTGGAGATGATGTAGAAAGTGTTCCTCCAATCTTTCCACTTATTCTCCTTCCCCACAGTCATCATATAGCCCTTGTGGCTAGACAATTGATACCAGCCGGTCCCGCTTGTTTTTAGGGTCCGGCTGAGGTAGTGCATATGAGCGAATGCTTCAAAGCTTGTCTCTACCTCATGCATTTCACAGCCGGGAACATAGCCCAAGATGTTGAACCAGGAGTTAGGGGCTAGTTGCCAGACACCCAGCTGGTACCCATCCAAAATCCTCTCTACAGCCGGATGTAGAGGAAATCTCAGGCCATCCTTAATTGCCGCCTCATAGCAGCCAAAACAGGCGTCTCTGTAGTTGGACTGCTCGGGCCAGACTACCGTGTCCTCGGCATCCGGCGTGCAAATGACATACCCATGTCCCATGACATGGTCAGCTCTGAAGTTTTCAATTTTTTCAGCCATCATTTTATGCCTGTCTTTCGGAACAAGATGATAGTAGGCGGTGTATTGCTCTCGGTTGGTAGCAGACGGCTCCGCCCAGTTTGGTCCCAAGTCTACTAAAAGGGACTCTCGGGCACTCTCTAGCCGAGAGTGCCTCTCTTCAGATTCATCCGAAAATTTATTCGAAGTGCTTGGCTCAGAATCGCTATCTAAGCTCTCGGATGAAGGGTCTGCCTGCCGGGCCAGATCAACAAAGGCTGGCATTACATTTTCAACTTCTTCCCCTGATTCATCTAAAATGGAATCACTAGGGGTACTTGGGGCACCAGGCGGCACGTTAGACACCTCGCTGACAAGCACATGAAAGAAAGAGCCGTCTGAATTTGTCACCCTTGTTGTTCTCTTAGTTCTGGCCATGGTGTCCTGCACAGACACATAGACAGTTAGACTTGGGGCAGTTCGCAAAGGGTGATCCAGCAAGGGGCAGTCGACACTCCTAGTTGTAGATTCAGCCGTCCCCGGTGACCAGCTGATCACTAACTTAGGCCGTGCCGTGTGCTTTTGGGAAACCATTTTCAAAAGAAAAAACAAAGTACAAAAAAATAAAAAGAAACAGACGGTTACCTTTAGTTAATGAAGATGGAAGTACTTGAAAGTCTACAGTGACTGTAAGAGCAGGCGGTCTGGTGCAGTCGAAAGCTCTCTCTCAGAAAAAGACAAAAGCTCTCTAGAATTTTTTGGAAACGTCCAAACAAATGATTTGGACACCCCCTATTTATAGGGGACAGAATTCCAAGAGACAGTAAAAAAAACGGTAAAAATTGTTAGCCAATCATGGTGTGACACCTGTCACAAGCACCACGTGGCATGCCACGTGAGGGGAAAATGATTAGGGGATTTTTCCCCGCCACGTGGACCATTCAAGTCCTGCCACGTGTCATCCACGTGGACCAACCAGAGTCTGCCACGTGTCACCTCGTGAGAGGTCCAAAGTGGACCAATCAGGCCACGACACGTGGCAGATATATAGCCCATCAGGAAAATGGCCTCCTATGACCCAAGTTCCTAGGCAAAGCCCAGTCAGCCCTAGGTTTACTAAAACCTAGTACTGGACACGTTTTTCAACACCCTATAAAAGGGAGATGTTTCCCTCTGAGGAGGAGGATTAAAAAAAAACATTTAATTCGCATTAACTCACAATCAGAGAAAGTTAGACATTTGACACCTCGAACTGAGCAATTTCATATTGCAGATACTCTCTTGGAGCCCAAGGGAGACTCTTTACTTTCCGCACTTTACTCCTTATACACGTTCTAACTTGATCGTCGGAGGCGGAACTCCTACCCACCGGAGTCTCCGTTGTTTTGCAGGTACAGGCGTCTAGAAGTTAGTCTTGGAGTTGTAACTCTCCCGCAGGACATAAAAAAACCCCGAAACAGATGGTTAATGGGTGAAATAGAGCACTATTCACATCTAATCTGATCCATCACCCACGTTTCATCCATTAATTTCGTGTTTTCACCCATTTACTTACGAGTAAAGCTAGTGGATCGGTTTTGCAAAAAGCCATTTAATATTGTCATCTCTATCCGTAACAAATAAGGCGAAGAGAACACAATCCTTACACTATCGGATACTTAATGTCGGAAACCCCAAATTAGTTGCGCGGCAAGATTTTTAAGAACCCAAGGCCAGCCTCGGTCGCTACTTACCCACCTTAGTTTCACCTCTCCTGATTTTCAACCATCAGCCGACCAAAATGCGTCGACTTCGAATTAGCGCCACCCCTGGTACGGCGTTTCTGCAATCTTCTTCTATTTTTAACTCCTCTTCTTCTTCTTCCAATTCCAATTCCAATTCCAATTTATTCAACAAAGTAATCACTTCCAAAAACCTCCATTTTCGACGCTTCAATTTCTCTTCCCTTCGCTGCTTTTCTTCTTCGGCTATGGCTGCCACCCCTATCGAACGTATCAAAGTTCAGAACCCTATTGTTGAAATGGATGGTAATGTTTTTTTTTTTTCCCAATGTTTTGTAATTGTAGATAATGAATACTTGATGATTGCTTGTTATTTTGATTGAATTTCAGGTGATGAAATGACGAGAATTATATGGAAATTGATCAAAGATAAGGTATGAAATTTCAATTTGCTGTCTAATTATGCATATATGATTTTGCTTGCAGTTTCGTTTTGTTTATGTTGTTTTTGAATTGAATTTGGCACTTATTTCATTTCTTTTTTGGGAAAATGTAAACTAATAATCCCACCTTTAGTCGGTCTTCCATAAACAATCCCACCTTTTGAAATTCCAGAAACAATCCCACCTTAAACCCCCATCTTCCATTAACAATCCTTTACCGGTTGTGTTGTTTTGATAACCGGTTTTCATAGGTTATAAGACACGTGTCAAGTTTTAATAGCTTTAACTTTTTTTTTAAAAAAAAAAACAAACTAATAAAAAATATAATAATAATAAAAAAAACAAAACCAAAACCCCCAGCCTAGCCACCGTATCCCTTCCCCATCCTGCCACCGCATCCCCTCCCCATCCCCGCCCTTGCTTTTCCCGGCAACCCAACCTACCCCTTCAAGGCGCCGGAACCCAACCCCTGAAGCCCGAAATCAGCACTTGCAGCCGCCTAGCTTCCCCAAAAACCCAACCCAATCCGCAGCCCAGAACCCCTCTTTCTCCTTCTCCTTCTCTTTCTCTCTTCTCTTTGGTATGTTTCACTCTCCTCCGAATTCATCAATTCATTCCCTTTCAATTCGATTTTTCAGATGATTGAAATAATAATTTGCATTTAATTTCAAGCCAAAAATTGAATTGGAGACGATGGGTGACGTTTTTCAGGGCCGGAGTAGACTATTTCGTGGCTGGGGTGGAGTATTTCGTGGCTGAGGATTGAGTTTCAGCCTTTTAGGGGGCTGGTGTGGGGATTTTGTGGCAGTGGGTGGAGTTTTCGTGGTGGGGGTTGGGTTTCGGGGGTGGTTATTGGATTTTCCGGCGTGGTTGGTGAGTTTCGTGGTGGCTTGGTTGTGGGGGTGGCGGTAAGGAGTGAGTGTTGGGTGGTGGTTGGACTAGTGGCTTGAGAAGGAGTATAGTTAAAATAAATAAATAAATAAACAAAATAACCTGCTTAACAAGTTGTAGGTCAATGGGATCGTTAGTGGAAGATGAGGCTCAAAAGTGGGATTGTTTCTGGAATTTCAAAAGGTGGGATTGTTTATGGAAGACCGACTAAAGGTGGGATTATTAGATTACAATTTTCCTTCTTTTTTTCGTTTATGCATAATCTTTGAATTGTATTTCAATGGACAGCTTATTTTTCCATTTGTGGATTTGGATATTAAATACTATGATCTGGGAATTCTTAATCGCGATGCAACGGATGATAAGGTCACTGTGGAAAGTGCAGAAGCCACCCTCAAGTATGTGGCCATTGTTGTTGTAATTCTCGAAGTCTCGAGCTTTTTAATGTCCAGGGTGTATATGTTACTTGTATGGTTTTGACTGATATTACTGCTTGGGTGTAATTATAATACCCCCTCACTTTACACCATTAGGTTAGAAGGACTTGAAGCCATTGCTGAACATGCTTTGGACTTTATAAATTTGTGTTTTGTGCTAAATTTGACTTGTGTTATATGGGAAGTGGTAAGGCAAAATGTACATTGAAATAACCCTATTATTATGAAATAAAATTGTTTTTAGCTCATAATAAACTAGTTTATAGATTGTTGTTGACTTGTTGCTATATGTATGTCAAATAAGATATTCGTGTTTAATGATGCAGCATAAGAAAGAAGTTCGAGAATAAGGTCATGTCTATAGAAACAGAAAGATTAAGAAGATTCTGAAAAGACTAATCAAGATATCATAGCAACTTTGTACCTTAATAGTCAAACCATTGCTGAACATGCTTTTGACCTTGAAAATTTGTGTTTTGTGCTAAATTGACTTGTTTGAATGGGAAGTGGTAAGACAAAATGTACATTGACATAACCTTATTAAGGCCTTGTTCACTTCACTTCATTTATTATGAACTAAAATTGTTTTTATGTTTAAACTAGTTTAAACTATCAAAAATTGTTTGCTACTGATTTTATTATTTTTATTTTGACTTTTTCTTATTGATTGAAGCTGAATTTTTCTGAATCATTTATGTATTTTGATTTATGAAGCTACTGATTTAAAATTAATCTTCTGATTGAATCTGTTTTCTACTGATATAAACTTCTTTTTACTAGTCAAACTGATTTTTTTTTACATATAATAAATTATTTTTACTGAATAATTTCCCTACTTTTTAAGCTGAAGTGAACAACGCCTAAGTGATAAATTTTAACAGTTGGACCTCACAGAAGAACTTTTACACGACTCATTTATTCAACGTTGACATATTTCACCTACTCTAAAAGAGAGACAAAGAGGGGGGTGGGGGGGATGCAGGACAAGTGTGGAATATTTTTCTGGGATATATACTTTTGCGCAACAGTTATAGCTTAATGCCCACAATGCAAAGAGGGAGGTTAAAGGCGAATGTGCCACCAAAAGATGTGTAACTATTATTAATTAGCCTTCTGGAAATGTTAGAAATAATGCTAGTTATACTAGTCATGCTCCATTATATTTAATGCTCCACTATAAATCGACATCGAATTTTTGATATTATGATTAAGTTCTGGTCATTTAAGGTTGACTTTCCTTGGCTTGAAATCAGATTTCATGCAGCTAATTTCTGTTGATAAAATCTTTCAAGATTTAGGGCTAAGTTTACTGTTCTTTGACATAGTTATTTTCTGAATATTTTGAGCACTTTGTGTATATATATAGAAGGTTGAGGTTAATCTTATACATACCTCAAGGTCTGTGTGAAAGGTTGCTCATGTGTACCTCAATGACAATTTTATGTGTGCAGGTATAATGTTGCAGTTAAATGTGCCACAATTACTCCTGGTTAGTTTTTTCATGGCTTTTGATTTTTCTGTCACAAGAAGATGTCAATCTGGGCTGTATATGTGATAAATGTATTTCAGTAAGATTGACTATTAATTTCAGTGTTACTACAGCTTGTTCAAATGGTTTTCCTTGTTTCATGCAATCAAAGTGTTCACTTCCTGTGTCATTTAACTATGTAAGTACTATATTGATTATTCCATCTTTGAAGCAATCATGTTTGGATCTAGTTAAATGCTTGAACTATGAGCAGTTACATGGTGATGGTCCATAGATTCTTTTCTAGGAAGCTACAACACTTTTTTATCAAAATGCATACCAAGACATTTATTAAAGACTTCTTTGGAGCTTCATTGGTATAAAGGTAGGGACATGAATAAGTTTCAGGGTACCTCCCCCTATGAACTTACCAACTACAGAGTTGACATCCACCCTATAGGCTATATAAAGATAAAGGATTTCACAAAGAAATTATGATTGGTTGGCTTGTGAATGTATAGTCATAATCATATGCCCTTGTGCACTTCTACTCGAGAATATTTTGCTACATACACTTTCTTGAAATTAACAGTAATTCCTTCATTCTCTAGTAATTACAGCTTTTGGACTTCTACCCCAATCACATTCCTTATTGACCATCTTATATGATTCATAAGTAAGAGAAATTGTAGTTATGTGGGATCTTGTTAGATTAGTCTAGATATATACTTTCAAATTATTAATACTTTTACGTAAAGATAATCAAAGATATTAATGGTCACAGTTGTGCGTTGGCAAGTGTGAAACTCCAAATAATACAATTATAAAAGAGTGGAGAATTTTTTTTTGCTTTATGAAAGTTATTATTTTGGAAATTCTGTAACAATCGTGTTCTTTCACCACATTCTTTCATGAATGCACATGACTCAAGAATTCAATAGAACTAACTACAGAAATATCAATACTTAAGAAGATGAACTATGATGCAAGTCTTCTAGAGTTACATTACAACTTCAATTCAAGTAATGAGAAGTTGATCAAAGATGACGGATCCAAGTAGGTGAATGACAAAATTTTTATAAACAAGCTAACAACCGCTCTTATATTTCATTTACAACATCTCATTAACTTGGAGTCGAGTTGTAAAGGGATTGCAATTGTCCATCTTAAGTGCTTTTAATAATTCTTTGCCTTTTCCTATAAACAATACAAAGAAAGAGAGAATAAAATAACCCTTGTGCTATGGTTCTAACTGGCCCAAACACACATAGACACGCTAGATGAAGAGTGAGACACTGCATCCCATATACCATAGAGGGAGAATTGATATGAGCTAAAAGTCTAGAATTTGATAAAACCTTCAAGTACTTGTGTGAACTTGCTTGATTTTTGAACCCTAAATCAAATGCCTTAATTTGATATTTCCCTAATTGGCGCATAGTGTGTACTACTGATCTTCAGTTCCTAACCCTGGCTTTATTGACCATAGATGGTCATTCTTTGTAGGTTAACCCATTTTTTCCTCTTTATTCCCACTTTTTCTCTTTTTATTTATTTATTTTTTTCCTTTGCTGTTTCAGTTTGCTCATGCAAAGATGATAGATCTAAGAAGGCAATGTGAAAGTATGTGGGAGCAAACTGCCAATCATGCTCCTATATGATCTCTAATTTGTCTTTTTAGTTTTTCTTTCATTATAGAACTTCTTATTAAAGTGAATATGGGATTTCTATTCTCCACCTATAACAAAATGTTTTCAAAATCCCTCCCACCTTGAAGAAATGTATAGGTAAGTACCATTTGCACTTTGAGATCCCTTTTCCATTCCTACCAGTAGTTAATTGTTACCAGGATCTATAATCATTAAATCATCTACCGTGAGATCATCAAAATATTTCTTTTATCACTTATCTGCACTTATAGAGTATTAACGAAGAATTTGCTGAAAACAATCATTTTATAGTTTGCTTGAGAATATATAAATAATGATCTTGACTTTTGGGACCTAGTCTTTTTATTCCTTCACCTTAACTTCATAGAGATTTGTTGTACATATATCCATCAAATAGTGTTGAATTCATGTTTTATTGATGTACTTTTAGAAGCTTCAAACAACCCAAATGGTGTCTTTTCTTTAGATAAGTACAAATGTATTATGACAATCGACTTCAGATTATTATTAGAACAAGCTAAGAGACGCACGCAATGCGTGTGTGTGCAATACAAGTAATCTATCAAGCTCGATTCTTTTTTTTTTTCCACAATATTATCTCCTTAATTCTAATTAAAAAAAATATTAGTGGGTTTAAGATTTGTTGATAAAATATAATAAAAAAAAATTGTTAACGATGTCATATAGACTAAATAATAAAATTGAACTTCCCTAAAAAAATAAAAATAAATAAAAAGAAAAGATGGAAGTTTTTTTTTTTTTTTTGAACCAATGGTAGTTTTTTTTATTAAAAGGATGGTAGTTTTTTATTTAAAAAAAAAAAGAAAAAAATGAGCGGGGTATTTAGGGAAATTGAAATTTATCACCTAAAACCCCCTTTCACTTTATATATAGGATAGGATATAACCTTATGCTACAATTCTTGCTTTTTTTTTTATTACTCCGTATAATTTTTAATTTTTTTTAATATTTAAAGGGATCAATTCAAAATTTGTTCGACTCCTATGGCTTTCTTATGAGTACTTCTATTATGAGATTCCAACCTTGCTTTTCCCAATCATTCTTATATATTTTTTCATGGCAGCTCTTCATTTTGAAGATTGTAAATTCAGTATAAATTATCCCCCCCCCCTTCTCGACCCTATTTATATGCTTCATTTTCCTTTGTTGGTGCCCTTATTTGATCTTGTTACGTCACTTTATCATCCATAATATGGTCCTATTATTTATCTTTTGACCAAGTGTACTTAACCAAGTATTATAAATTGTGTAAAATGTAGTAGGCATATATTTATAGTCAGAGGGAGTAAGTGACATGATTTGTACGTATTTGAATCTTTTGCTTTATGTATATAAGGGTGGCTTGTACAAAATGGACTGCATCCCTATTGAATTAGTTGCATTTTGAGTGTCTAGTGATGATGATGGTGTACTCTTTTACCTGGAGAATATTAAGGTGGATTGGTGTACGAGGTGATTTGACTTCTCTTTCATGTTGTAATGTTGTATAGAAGCTGTCTTATTTTAGCAAATAGTAATTATCTCCTTTTTTCTTAATTTGCATTCTAAATTAATGGTGCATCTTCACCAAAAGCAATTTTCTCAGTTTAAAGTTCATTTTAAAACTCTTAAACCTCTGGACTAACAATATAGCATCTACCCTTCAGATTCTTTTTTAGCCTTTTCCACAAGGATTTAGGTACCTTTTTTTTTAATTTTTTTTTTATTGGGGTTAGTTTGTCTGTACTGTCTAAATTTACTTCTCAAATACAAGTAATGTATAAATCCAACAACTTATCTTAATTTACTCTCATTGGTGGGAGGTTGGATAATTTTATGCTATTTCATGGGGACACTAAAATATACGTCGTCAAAGTTCTCATTCAACTATAAACATTAAAATCACTCTAGATGCTTTATTCTTTTGAAACATTAAAACATCCAGCATCTTTCCCAAAATTGCTTTATTGTTATATTTCTTATAAAGTCTCTCTAGATCCTTAGTTCATTTGCAATCTTACATGGAATTCACCTTTCTATCTTCACAGGTAATGTGAATTAGGATGAAACAGTGGTGAAATAGTTTAAATCTTGGTTCAAAGTCGTGGTTGAAATCTTGGTTCATGCTGCACAAAAGCCCCAGTTTCATGTTTGATTTAATTCCTAAACCTATATAACATATGCTCATTGATCAATGTACAACCAAAGACCTATATATATTGGTTAGTTGCATCAATATTTAATTATTGAAAAGGTGAAAAGGTAGTTGAGGTTAAAGGTTAGTGTTTTAATTTTTGTATTGAATGAACTAGGGCATGGGAAGAGAGGTGTTATAATATTAGTTGGGTCATATAAGTTGTGGGAAGAGAGGTATTATAATATTAATGCGGTCATTCTTAAAATGGAATTGTAAAATGTATCATCAGATGGAGAGTAATCCTGTTCTTTGGTTTATTGCTTATAAGGCATGTAGAGTACGTCAAACATATATGAAAGCAGCATTCCTTAATAAATAACTAGGAGAGGAAATATATGTACCATATTTCTCGGGATTTGAAGTAAAGGAACAAGATTTCCTTAAAACTCTAAAAGGCCTTATATTGTCTCAGGAGGTAAGAGTCTGTATAGAAGGATTAATGATTATTTTGAGCTTATATACCCTCTAGCACAATAACAAACTATTCTTACTCACAGCACAACATGGCTGTGGTTGATTTAATTATCACACGAAATATTTTGAAACTCATTTTAGCCTTCAAGAAGAAGATGCAATCTGATGAAAAATTTAAACAAGTTATCTATTAGCATTGGAAGGGGATCAAAGCGCAAAGGTTATCTTCATCTACCTATTGGGATATTTGAAGATAATTCTAGAATTTAGATTATATGGTATTTTCTTCTAAAATCTACCGAACTCATCAGGCTATGCATTTACGCTAGTAAAGTGTATATTCTTGTCTATTACATTAGAAGGATGATGTTACATAATTTTTGTCACATGTAGAAGATTGCTATAGCCTAGGAAATCAGGATATCAATTCACAACAAATAGCTAGCAAATAGAGGAAAGCTTGAAGGATTTTAATTGATAATGGAAGTAACGGCTACAAGGAACAGGGATACTACAACTACTACTACACTACTACAAAATTCTCCAACAACATAAACCTACTGTTTCATTGCTCATCCTTATATATCAAGCTCTCCCTCACAAAAGTACTCTCTCATTAAACTTCTTTGTCATGTACTGAACAGAATACCCCTTGCCACAATCCTTAGTGGAACATTAAAATTCCTTGTCTTTTTCCTGATACAAATGCTGCAGCTCCTGAATTTGTCTCTTGCCCTTTT